TTATTTCAATAAATAAATTTGTGAATTATAATTGGCTGTTTTATTTTTCAATTACGGCTTATGAAGGTCGAAAATCATGAGTATCTATGTAATTTATTCTCCACTTATACAATTGAAAAACCGCTTTTTTTTCTTCAAGACTGTAAAAATAAAAATGCATTAAATATAAAAGTAAATATTCTCCAATTAAATATTCCAATTTCTGTCCTTTATCGTCCGATAATGACACGGAATGTTTATAATCATTTTACATAATTTTCCATTCAAATTACACACGAATAAAATTATTAATCAAATTTTTGAATTTTTCTCAGTCGATCGGTTGACTCTGCTCAAAGCAAAACTATGGAATAAAATAAAATACTTTGCTTTATATAATAATGGTAAAATCATTTTACAATAAATCCAAGCATTAAATTGTACAATAAAAATTTGTGGTCTCTACACTTGGCAAAATGTAACGTCTTAAAAACTTGATGTATAATATTATTATGCACTGTTCGATCGACAAATTGGCAATTTGTTTGTTCTGAAACGTTTTCATGTTAGCGTATCGATTTCTTCCTGCGTCAATCTAGATAAAACAATTTTGAATTTTTTTACTGTAAATTCTCCATTCGAAAAACCCACTTTCTGTGGAATATCCATTGTGTTATATGATGGAATATAATTAGCATTCATATCCATTTCAATTTCTACATTTGGTTTGATGATCATTTCGTCTTTTGTCTCATTCGATATCTTTCGCTTTTTCGCTCGTGGTTCAATATCACAGTCATCGCATATAAATTTCTCGGTTTTTAAACAGCATTCATGAATGCCATTTGATCCACATGAATCACATGTCACCATAGGGCTTTCACATTGTGATAATTTACAATAATTTGCCGTGCATACTATGGGCACAAATGATTGCTGGAAATTAAATTGTTGCATTAAACTACCGAATGTGACATGTGTTTTAAAGTTTTAATTACCTGTTCAAAATTGTAGAATTCCGAATCCTCCCAAACGGCATCTCTGTAATATTCAATAACATTTATTAGAGAAGGGTCGCAGAAACTAATTGACATTTCAAACGATCATCTATTGAATTACCTTTCAGGAATGAAGATGCCACGTTTTTTCAGCCAATCACAAAATGTTTTGGTGTCATTGCACAATGGACATTTCGAATGATAAGCGCCCGCAATTAGAACACTCTTTTGAATGCAGAATTTGTGAAGCCAAGACTTGGACCGGCAGCATGGTGTCTGAAGCGATTGTATGATATTGTACTCGCCCATCGGTTCATTACAAATAACACATTCATCACGATGGTCATGAGGCATTGTTGACTTTTTGATGCCATGATGTGTGTTACAAAATGATAAATGCTGATCAAAAAATTCAAAGCGACAGTCATTCTGAATGGCACACGGCAAATGGAATGCTTTTCTACATTTTCTATCGCAACAGCTAATGTTGGCGCCGCCTTTCTTGCAAAAAGTACATCGCTGAAAAACATATGAAATTGATTAAATTTACATGATTTTTGTTTGGTGTTTTATTGAATCGTACATATATTTTGGATCGTTGTGCTTCTTTTTTAATGTCTTTCGGCAAAAATCCTTGGATTCCTTCGTCATCATCACCATTTTGTTCACAGCATCCGCTCAGCAGCTAAAAATGAAAAAAAAATCCGAGTCTAACAATTATTAATATTTATCTTTTAGCAAACGTGTTACATTCGCATTTACAGACAGTCAAACGATGTTTATCGTTCGATTGATAGAAAAATGTCTACATTCAATCAAATATCGTTCAAAAATTTGTCTTACCACACAAAAATGATGCACAGTTACGTCTTCGAATGTGATTTTTTCACCTAATTGATAAACATCTTCGATATCTTGTTTACACATTATGCATTTCTCGTTTGTAGACATTTTGAGTATAAAAATATTGATTTTTCTGACCGATGCTTTCTGATTTCCATATAATATTTTTAATTGCACTTCTTTGAGATGTTTGCTCAATTTTCGTACTTTTGCACATTTGATAATGAGTTCCAAATTCCATGTCATTTGCTTTCTGTACGAAAATGACACCACTACATTGCAATGAACAATCAATACACACAAATCTGTTGATATTAAGCATTCGAAAAAAAGTGCACAAAATCAATATTTGTAAGATGTAACACATCTGTCAATTACATCAACCAATTCACAAACACATTCAAATCGTGCGATTATATCGTTTTCGTCTACGCTTACGTAGTTGTGTGTTTGTGTTCATTTTGGAGAACCACTTGACCGCTCGCAAATTGTATAAATAAATCGCAAGCAATTTCTCCGATTATTCAGTATTCAAAAATCGAACGTTGTCAAATTGCCGAATTTTGATTGCATTCATATAAACTGCAAATTCGCGTCCGACTGAGTTCAGGAATGCTGAAATAGTTGGTGCTCTTGCATTTTAATACATTTCAATTGGATGGTGAGATCCTTTTGTTTTCATATTCACACTTCGATCGATTGCCAATTCCACTTCTTCATCTTTCCATATTTCAATGACGTAGTCCACTTAAAGTACCTCATTCCAGTTGTAACTGTAAACAAATAACCAAATCTTCTTTTTGACGTACGTCTCTTGTAAGTTCGATTCTTGAGGTAAGAATTTTTTGTCCTTTGCTTCAATTTGATGTTTCTTGATAGCGTGCCAGAAAATACATTTATGCTTTATGTAATCATGTTATACCAAAAGTACTCCTTCACACTGTGAACTGGGTGAAAATTCCTTAAAATAAATGATGAAAAAACGATCTGCGAATGAAATGCTCAAGAAATCAAGACTCCAGAATCTGAATTTATTTTTAATCTTTCACAGTTATAAGTTGATTACAAATCGATAATAAAGCCAAACATAGGCGCTATTTAATTCGTGTGCTGTGTGTAACACCGTGTAAGGAATATCATAGCCTACTATTATTTTCTTCATTTGAATGTGAGTACGAGAGAGATGTAGAAAATAACGCACAACACGCACAAACGCATTTAAACGAGTTAAATCGCGCCTACGAATAGCGGCTATGAAATAGCAGACGCTATATCCATAGCTCAAACCTAATGTCTGCAAAAAATTGAAGAATTTTTGTTTCAGTTTTAAAAATGTTGATTCTACTATTGTGTTACTAACCATTATGTCAATTATCGTTGTGAATTGATGCGAAAGTCTAGGTTTAAAAACCGTTAGACACATTTGTTCCAGCCAATAACCAACTTCACGACATTAGTCAACAAGTGGCCAGTATCTTCAAAATTCATTTTCAACAAGTGGTTATTTGACGAAGCAAAGTTTTTGTCGATTTTCAGTACTAGTTTTTACGGTGGTCTATTCTTATTCGATTTTCCGTTCACTTTTCGATCATAGATGATGACGTAAAAATTTTTAGGGGGGGGGGGGTGATGGCAAAATTCTGTAGGGGGTTCCTGGAAAAATCCATGGGGGGTCCCTGACGATGTCAACAATTTGTACGAAATGAGGATAAAATCGTTTTTTTTTTTGGAAGTCACTTTTTTGGCGAAAATCTCTAGCAAATCGAAAGAATTTTCTCGGCCAAAAAAAAAGTGAAGAGCAACAAAAAAAATGGTCCTCCCAAAATTGTTGAGGGTTCCTAAAAATATTTTAGGGGGGGTCATCCGACCCCTAGGAACCCTCGTCATCACCTATGCTTTCCGATTGTTTGAATCTCTTGAGCGGTTAATATAATTGGTTTTGTGTTCGAGCATCAAACAAGGAAAATGAAAATCTAAAAAAGGTAATGCTATTTTAAGGATATTTTTCATTTTATTTCGAAAAACTATCGTTGAATTGTGAAATAATTGATAAATACATATAATACATTCGAGTGCATATTGGTTTGCTATGGATTATAAATCAACAAGGATTGTTGTTTTGAATTCGCAAAAACCCTAAGGCGTTTTGGCCAGTGGTTTTAATTCAAACTCAATGCATGCGTGTGATGTCAAAGCTGACAAAATGAATATAAGTCATTGTAACAGAAATCGACCAACCACTTCCATGCGACGGGCTAATTTGAATATTCAATTTATCATAAATGGCACAAAAGAATAATCGCAACAATCGAACAAGCGGCAGCACCAAATGTGCGACTGTATACATCAGCAGCAGCAAAAACAGCGGCGGGAATCACATGCGTTCACATGCATACGCATACACATGCGAATCAACTCTTTTTTTTCCACTCTCTCTCTCTGTCTCTGGATTTTTCAAATTTAAAATGAAATGTAATCAAAATAATCACATACTTAGTTGGTATGAGGCATGTGGTACCATCAAATGCGTGCGTTTATTTGTTTGTGTGCGGCAATACGAGTGAGAGTAGAGTACATAGAACGCGAATGCGATTAATGTATGGCGGTTATTTAACACGGTCTCTGTCTCTCACTCTCTCTCTCTCTCTCTCTGAAAAAAATTGATGTAGATATTATTGTGTCGGCATACTGTGTGTACTCGAACATCGATACGAGAGCCGCTATATTCAGATTATATACATACATGCACACGCTCAACGCGCGTAAACTGAGAGCAAGAGAACGACGGAAAAGAGTGGCAGGAGAGTGAGTAGTTGGGCAAGCATTCGGCTTAAACAGGAGAAGGAAACAGAGTGAGACAAAACCAGACGAGAGAGGAAAAAAAACAACAACAACAGATTAATACACAAATGAATACACGACCGAAGAAAATACTTATTAAGCATATTCATTGAATGGTTGGCTCTTTTTTTATTTTGTTGTGATTATTAGAAGTGAGCGCACGGTCGTGTACGCGTTGAAGAGCAAACTATTTGATTTGAAGAAATGATTCCTTGATTTATTTATCGTCGGCGAGATAGAATTGATCGATCAGTGTGTGGACAATCGAAACGACCATAAATAGATAACAACATTTCGATCGATCAGGATCGATTTGGTAAAGGACAATAAGAGTGATTGATAAGGATTTCGATGCATGTACAATTGTGTGTTGTTGTACATGCACCAAAAAATTCTACCGCGAAAATTCAAATTTTAAACATCGACGACACGAGATCAAGGAAATCCATCTTTATACTTGAACTCTTTTTGGACAAATAACACAAATTTTCACCTTCATTTTATGGGAAAATTACAAAGTTAGAAGAAAAAAATTTACAGTTTGAACAATTTGGTGCAAAAAGTAAGTGACATTCATTGATTGAGTGATTTAGTTGGATCATACAACGACTATTTTTTTAACCACTTTTTGTGTATTGACCTAAAATTGATGAGGATGATTTTTATTTTAAAAAAAGAATGTTTAATCCCATTTGAGAGAAAAAAATTGATTACTGGAATAAAAGGATAAATCGATACGATTGAAGTGACAGCATTAAATAATCAACAAGTAAATTGATTTTCGAATGTAACAAAGAAAGTGTTGTGATTGTTACGTATCTTTTGAGAAATATTTTGGTGTTTATGTGTGTGTATCGTTTGGAGACAATTTTTCGATCACAAATACTATTCCGAAAAAGAGTTGACAAAAGAAACTAACAAAAGATCTACGGTAACGGCGTAAACAGCAAGCAGCTGAATTGACAAAGAACGTGCAACACTTTTCCGCATTTGCAATCAAAAAGCAAGAGAGAAACGCACTGAAAGCGAAAAAAAAAACACATTAAAAAAAGGAGAAATAGATCTACAGGCCTAAATACACGAATCAAAAAAAAATTCTCAATCCTTTCACCGAATTCGGGGATTTCATTTTTCGCTGTGGATATATATAACCCTCATTTTTCCTGAACCGAATGGTATGTGTGTTCAATGTTTAATTTTACATTTCAAAATAATAATAATAAAAAATAAAATAAAAAAAAGCCGAACCGATGAAGAGTGTAGAAAAAAGAGCGAACTGTGTGTGCGCTTTATTGTTTGAGAGCTCTCATCATTATATATTTTCAGGATTTTATTTGGTTGTGTGTTAAAAACTTTAGAATTTCGAATTCACAATAACACATGCACACACAAATCGAGCGTGTTGTATTTTTGTGTATCGTTTCACCACCGAATTGCATGAAATTTGATTTTGTCTGCGTCCCGATGATATAATCTATATATATGTATGGACTGCAGGCGATATATGTCAGTGTGTTTGTGCTTGTGTTGCGAGCAAAAGAGCGAGAGAGAGCGATCGAGTAAAATATACACCACCCGAAAAAATACGGGAAAAATCTTCACCAAAAAGTGTTCTTTTTTCCATAGAAACCCTTTGAAATTCGCTTGGATGAATTTTGTGCATAAAATCACTCACATATACATGCAAGCACGCTTGTACACACCAGGCAACGACCAGAACATCAAAAGACGGGAGCAAAGCAGTCATCATAACACTATTGAAGAAAAATGACATGAAAAAAACGATATATTATGCACAAAAATAATACAATTTTGTATACAATTTGCCGTTTTGAGCGATGATTATGCGAGCACGCGCACGCTCGTCACTCTATCTCATTCTGGCGCGCATCGATTCGTGTGCTATGTTGTGTGCGCGACCGACAATACTTCCCATAAAAATCGATGCACAGCGGCAAACTAGGTTTTTAAATTAACAACAAAATGTGCGCTGGGCATTATAAATGTTTAAAATATATTATTCAAGTGCTTGAATAAATGAGGAAAAAAATGTAGGGAAAAAGGCAGGGAACTGAAATTACTTGTAACATGTTTAGGTTTGAAATTTGTTTTGAAGCGCAGAGGCGCGCTGCATCACATAGTCAATACACTCAATCCGGAATTCAGTCACTTTTCTCTTTTTTTGGCGATTTAGTATTGTTTGATGAGACGACTGAAGTGATGTCGTTTCGGTCATATTGAAAATTATGTATTAATATTAATAATGCATATGTTATACTTTTTTCGCTTCATAATCCTTTTTTTCGTAAAACCTGTTCCGGAACATAAAACCAAATAAGTGAGTTTGTGACGGGGTTCACTTTTTTTATGCTCAAACATCATTTTGCAACTTCCTCTTCAATTTGTTGTTCAGTATTGTATAAAAAATGTTATGTAAAATCCAAATTTCGAATGTTTTTTTTTTACTCGAATCAAAACAAAATGATTCCGATCGATTGACAATGAGCCACATTTTGAGCGTGCCAAAGTGTAATGCAAAATCAAATCATATCACGTACAATGACAGTTGTAATTTTTTTAATTGCGCACAGTGACTATTACCAAAAAAAATTCGAACCGTATCACATAAATGGCATTTGGAAAAGTAGTTGCACGGCCGATTTCCGTTCGAAAACCCACGAAAACTAACAAAGAAAGAAGAAACAGCACCAAAAACAATCAATGCCAATTAGAATATTTAGTTTAGTGAAGAAATAAATGACAGACAAACTAGAGACACACAGAAATTCAAAGGAAGAAAAACCAACAACAACAACATCAAAATGATGGTGAACGGTTGTGATGTGAGCTGTTTACTTGAAATGAAATATTAAATGAGAAATTATTCAGTTTTTTTTATTATTATTATTATTTTAGTTGTCATTTAAATTGATTTCCGGAATGAAATATATGGTCTTCATAACAGTATACTTTTTTTTTTTTGAGTTTTTGTGCCTGCACATACAAACAAACTCTTTCCACTTGAATATGATGAATACAATATATATATTATATATGTATAAATTATGATCGTTTTGTTTTCATTCATTAGAAAATGTGTAAACAATTTCGGATTTGAAGAAAACCATGGTTTTTACGATAGAATTCGCTTCCCGCGTTTCGATCACCAAATATGAATCGGTAATTCTCTTGTGGCAACGAATGGCATACACATTCTTTGCGTACTCTTTGTCCGTGAGCCGATTTACTAAAATTAAACGAAAACCAAAAAAAAAATGCTCAACCAAAACAAAAACAAAATGAAGACAAGAAAAGAGGAAAACAAAAATATCGAATCACGAAGATACATATACGAATCATTAATTTCGATCGTACGAATAAAAAGGTGCTTAGAAGCATAAAACTATGCCGTTTAATTCAAGTTAAATACAAATAATACGGACAAATAATTGTTCAATGCCAAATTCACAAATATGTATTGAACATTCATAAATTGTTTTCTCAATTTTTAATTGCGTTCGAATCGAATGCAAAGCAAATTAAATTAAACGAACCAAGAAAATACGAGTGTAACAAATAATAAACAAATCATCACAATCAACCGAAAAGAAAAGAAGAAAAAAAAAATACAAAGAAATTGTTCAACATATTAAGTGAAGCGCGAGTGAGGCACATGCACACACACACATTTGTGTGTCCACTTTGTTCGGGTGTTATCCCCAGAAAAAAAAATTGGAATTCATCGCAACGAAGTGCACAAATAGACAAGACACCGAGATAGAGAGAAAGAGAAATAATACCGACTTTCGTGCATTTATTTGAGTGCGCGCGATAAAAAGTCAATTGTTTCGTTTTTTTTCTCTCAATATAATATTTTTTTCATTTTGCTAGCCAAACTCATTAATTTCAGTTTGGCGTTTCGCTCTCTCACTACCTATTTTACAAAACGTACGTTTTCCGAACGAATCGCTTTTCAATATACGCCTATAAGATATCAAGATGACAAACGACGACGACGACGACGACGACGACGACGACGACGACGACGACGATGACAATGCATGACAATGTGTGGCTCATTTTAATTCCAACAATTTTTAATTATTCCGATCAGATAATTTTGATTTATCCATATTTTGAATTGTACAAAAATGTACTTCTAAAAATTCCAAAATAAGAAAAACTCATAAATTAAGAATATATGCTGTTTTTTTTTTCTTCTTTCGTCTTTTTTCTCTGTCTTTGTTTAACACACATTCAATATTAGTGCGCATTTAAATAATTTCCATTGAGGCATACATTCATTTTGTCTATGTGTCATTCAATCAATAAACGAAATTATGGGTTTTTATGTATGCACGTATGACATCGTTGCTTGATTCCATGTGATTGACGCGGTGCCCTATTTGGATATTCAACCGAATTATTTTTGGTTGAAATGCTAATTGAAATGATTTGATTTGTAGACAAAAAAAAAACAGCAAAAACATCCCAACTTGTAGCGCTTCGTTCTGGACTCATTCAATTACAATCGGAGATCAATAAATAACATTTTATTTTCCTGCTACAACAACATAAGCACATTCACACCGAAAAATCAGTATCCAGAAATTTCGTCCGATGAAGTATCCATAATTTTCGGTGTTCATCATTTTGGTTCATGGAGTTGCTAACTCAAAGATTCGATCACGTAATAGTTAGTTAAGGAAATGCTTATTTTTTTTTTCGAAGTAAAGAAAACACCGTACACTACACAAATGTGTGTACATGTGTTGAAAGAAATATTAATTCCACAAATTGAAGAGAACAGAGAAAAAAAAACTGCAACAAATATTGTGCTCAATTGAGTTTCAACAAATAATTGAATAAAACAAAAAAAATTATCATATGGAAATGGGCATCGCCTTTTTTTCGTCAATTACGTCACTTGTACCTAACATGGATTTATAGAATTTGCTGACAGGCTTCAGAATGAATACAGAAGAGGAAAAAACACTGAGCGCACAATTGCTCTAGAATGCTACGAAAAGCAGTAAACAATTACCGTGCAAACATTCAATTTATGCCACAGAAAAGAGAAATACACAAGAAAAAGGAAAAAAACAGACATTGAATGACAGACAGGGTGTAAAAGAACCTTTGGCCATTTTCAATGTTATTATCGCATAGTATGCTAACTGGTTGGTAAAATCAGGAACGTTTTCTTCCACTGCATTCGCAACGGGAAAACATTTCGCAATTATGTGTGATAAAGTGATTGAAGAATTTTTTGTGTATGTGGTGTTTTTTTTTTTGTTTTTTTCTACTGAAAAATCACGAATTAATAACTATGTACTAACGAGATATGTGCGCATCTATTTTTCAGTTAATTTTCGCGACTTTCAAATGCTTGCTAAACAAAAATTTGTGCTGAAATACGCTTTTTGTTTCCTAAATGACTTTGAAGCGTAAGAATAACTGAGAAAACTGAACCCAGAACCTTCAAAATATGTGATCACACAAGTGATCTACATAGAGATATAATATATATTAATTAATATACCCGAAGTCGTGAATTTTTATGCTCTCTGTGAGACGAGAGAATAACACACAATTGGTGGAAAGAATGAAAAAAGAAGAGTCCCACATCATAAACGAAATCAACAAATTCAACATGCAAGAAATTCTTCATCATTTTAACCTTTTTAAAAACAATTGGCTTTAATCTGTTTGAATTTGGTGCAGAGAGTAGCACAAAACAAAAACTACATTAACACGATTATTGGTGTATAAAAACCACATCATCGTACAAAACTTTTATTCGAGAATTTTGTGTGTTTTTACTCTCTGTGTGTGTCTTCTCTTGATTCCGCCGGTCGGTCGATTGGTCGTTTGGATTGATGTGTGTTGATCAGAGTGAGATAGAAGGAGAAAATAAATACAATGGGCAACAATAACCAGCATCCAAGATGAGTAAATGCGAAGTACATCAATGACGATGATTATGAAAAACGAGAACTATCTGACAAAAATTCGTTTCGAATCCATCAACACGAAAAATGAACAAATCCATCGAAAATGAAAACACTATAAAACCATTTTTTTACACAAAATAAGATACACACACGCACTACATGCATGCACACCCTCTCAGACGGCACTTATTCACTTTTGATTCGGTCGTGGTCTTGTGTGT